CGCCCCTACACCTCGGGCCTATACCCAGTTCTATATGCATATATAAATAGACCTTTTTTAAAAAAGAATTAAACAATACCAGTATCCTAGAGCTTTCCCAATGTTTACTATCATTCTTCCTCCCTCTCCATCACATCATATTTTCATCCTGACTAGATTAGGGTCCATCCAACATGGACCAATAAGATCCTTGCTTCTGGAACTAGTGCTTGGGACAGAGACTAGGTCAGCAATGGGGAACAGACTATGGGAGGCTCTCCAATTATGTTTTGTCTCAATATTTAAACTGCAGGTAAGCAGCACCCATCAGTGACATTGAGGATGTACTGTATCCAACTGAAAAACTAGGGGTCAAGGTCGCCACTTTGGAGCAGTTAGGGTGGAGTCTATGTGAGCAGATGGGAGAGAAGAAAGCAGATTCTCAATGGGCCTGGGAGGAAGAGACAGGAGAAAGTGCCTTATGATATTTTAAGTCCACCACAACTGGCTGCCTTCAGCATCTGCATTGGAAGATTCCCTTTCTTTATGATTATTCCCCAGTCCATCTGCTCATCTTTCAATGAGTTCCCTTTCTTGCAACCAAAATATCCTCGAATACTTGGGCCAGCTTTTCCCCAGTGCTGGCCAGAGGAGCCAGTTCTTCCTGCTATGGCAGGCCAAGTATCTCTCTAGAGAAGAATAACGACTCACCAGAGACTGCTTTCTAATCACTGCTATGCAAAACGGCCACAGATTGAGGTAAAGGTCCTTTCAGACCATCCAACTCCTTTTGCCTTAACTCCATTTTCCCCAAGTAACCCTTTGATTATTAATGTACTTCAATTTAAAAAGTTGTGTTCCAGCCAGCTGACCTAATCATTCCAGTGGTTGGGTAGGCTCATGCCCATAATAATTCACAGATTGGCTTTCAAGCACAAATCATTCTTGAGTAACCTCCATTTCATTGCCACTGCCCTCGGTCAAGTCCTGTCATTTATCCAATGAACCATGGCAATAGCCTCGCGGCAGCACCTCCACTAACCCAATCCATTTGCTTCACCTTCTCTTTTCAAAAGACAAATCTGATGCTCCACTCCCTGCTTGGAAGTCTCTAGGCACAATTTCTCATATTCTGATTAAACTAACATGTGTCTTTCTTTTTCTTCTTTTTCTCCCTCTTTGCAATGACTCACAGGCACAATGTAGAATGCCAGCTTTAGGTAACAAATAGTAGAGATGGGACTGGGGATGACCCCCTCAGTTATCTAGTGTGTATGTTTTTGAAGAAGGGCACATGGTCAACCCACACGTAACTTTATTATAGTTCTTGCAAAAGTCAACATCTACACAAAGGTAGAAGCAAAATTTGGTCCTGGCTTGCCCTCCTACTCTCCCTGCCTGGCTCCAACTCTTCCTCTCTGGCCCAGAGCTCTGGGCAAACCCAAGACAGACAACACAGAATCCCCAAGAAATACAGCCACTTAGGTGATGTTACAGAATGTTACACAGTCACTTCTTAAATAAAGCAATGGATCAGGAAGTATTGGAACTAATAAGCAAGAAACCATACACAATTTTCTCTCTTATTAAACAAACACAGATTCTTACATCCTAAGTTTCCATCTTCCGGAAGCTTTGTAATAAATGAATGCTGCCTTGAATGACTGCTCACCTCATCAGTACTAAAAAGGTTGCAAAGCATATTGTGCTGCCCCCTGACAGCCTTAAAGGTGACCTAGAGAGAACGCCAGGCATTGGGCCTCTAGCACAGGGATGCCTGCTGCCCTGGGGCTGCAGGGGAATCACACCTTTTTCAAGGCCTTTGTTTCAGCAAAGTGGTCTCATCACCCATTTCAATCAGGCTTCACCTTTCCCTTCATGGTCATACTTCAGACAGAAATAACTTTGTACTACTCCAAAGGAGTGATGTTCTTAAGACCAAGAAGAAAACCAAATGACAGATCATGTTGAAAAACAAAGGGAGGCAGGGGAGTGGCTCACTCCTGGCTGAATGACTCTCCCCCCCACCCCACCCCAGGCCTCCCATAGCCCTGAGATTGGTGCCTTAGCAAACTGCAGTTACTACAAGTGATGAATCACTGGTCCCTCCCAGAGGGCAGGACTCACAACTGTTGGAGCCACAAAGGCCTCACACCATGGCCTGCTCCAAATTCACAATCCTAAACTTTCTGTTCACTCATCCAAATTGGCATCTTTCACATTTTCCAGGCAAATTTTCAATATTCTTCCAAAGAGGAAAAAGATAATCTTCACCAGAAGTATGTTCCTATTTGATAAGACATTTTGCAGAAATGGGCTCAGTATCCACATTTCCCTATTGCTAGCACATCACAATGACACAAAAGACATCTTTATCCTTGTCTTAAATGTTTTCGAGCACCATAATGTGCAAGGTATCGTTCACAAAATCATATTTCAAACTTTTTGGACTATAACCTATAAAAAGAAATGCATTTTATCTCACAAGTCTTAAGATTAAAAACACATGTTATATGTAGACATATAACATATACATATAATGTAAACTCATTCAGATAAGACAATGCACTCTGACATTATACATTCCTTTTATTTATTTATTTTAAAGATATTTATTTATGCATACAGGAACTGGGGTACCAGCCAGAGGTAGAGGGGGTAAGAGGGTTCATCAGAGACAGAATGGGGAATAGAACAGGCAGATGGGCTGAAATACACTGCTGAAGTGAGCAGCAGGGGAGACAGGAGAGGTCTGCTGTGCCATGTGGGTCACCTCCCTGGCCAGGGATCAAACTTGTGCTGCAGTGGCTGGTGAGAGCTTCGTAGCGCTACTTCACTGCTTGCACCACTAGGGAGACCCTAAATTTTTACTTCTTATTTAACTTTCAACTGTCACAATCCTTTAAAAGCATTGAATTTCAATGAACAAGCTTTAAATGTGGGCCTCTCGGTGGTACAGGGGTTAAAGTCTCAGCACTATCAAGCTATTGCCAACCACTACAGTATGAATATGAGTTTCAACTCAGGCTGGCCCAGGAGTTGACCATCACGGTGCAGCAGACCTCTCCTGTCTGGCCCTGCTCCCCTCAGCAGTGCCTTTCAATAGATCTGCCTGTTCTGCTCCCCACTCTGTCTCTGTTGAATCCTCTCACCCTCGTACCTCTGGCCTAGACCCCAGTTCTTATATGCATAAATAAATAAATAAAATAAATGTTTAAAAACAAAAATTCCTTTACATGGTCTCAAATCCTGTAGGTCACTATTCCGCTTATATGGGGGGAAAAAAAAACACAAAAAAACCTGAGACAGAAAAGCTTCCCCCCCTGCCCAATACTGCATTAAAAACTCAGATCTTTTGGGAATTAAAATGTGACTATATCGGGCCTCCCTGGTGCTGTAAGGGGTCGTCTTAGCACTAGGAAGTTACTCCAGCATGAGTTTGATCCCAGGCCAGGAGCTAACCCACATGCCCAGCAGATGTCTCCTGGGTTTCTTCTATTGCTCCCCTCAACAGTGTATTTCTACCTGTTTTGCTCCCCACTCTGTCCCTGGTGAATTCTCTCACCCTATCACCCTGAACCTCTGGCCTACACCCCAGTTCTTATATGCATAAATAAATATTTTTTTAAAAAGTGACTGTCTTTTAAAGAATCTTAAATTGTTACTTCAAATTATTACTTTCCTGCCAAGGTTACCAGGAGGGTTAAGAGAGACAATATCAGGGGGATGTCTGGTGGCTCCTTTAAGGTCGTGTATTATCTTTTCCTGGACATGCCTGGTCTCTGTGTCACTGGGGGCATTAAGCATCTGTGCTCCAGAAGGCCCCTCAAGGAGTTTACTGAGTCATTAATAAGAATAAATATCATCTACAAACTAGGATTACAGAATGCCTGGACTGAATATTTCACTAATTCACCTAATAGACAATTATTACAAGCCTCCAATGCTGGTATTGTGTGGTATGTAAATAATAGACACAACCACAGTCCTGTGGAACTTATATTTAAATTAGAGCTTAGCATTTGGAAAACAGTGCACATTCTGTTAATATGACATATAACTATTTGATACTCCCTTATCTGTAAAGCAAGGTAAGATGAGCTCTATGGCCCCAAAACTGCAGATTTTACGGACAGCAAAGCTTTCATGAAATAAATACTAAAAAAAGAAAGAAAGATGAATATGATCTCACCATTCAGTTCTTAAAACAGAATGAATTAAGCACTGTGAAAACAAATCATTACACCTCCTTATCTATACCTTTTGCTATAAGCCAGTTTTTGTCCTGTTATTAAAGGATCCCTCAGGGCTTACCGTGCTCTCTCTAGGATTCTTTGCCGGAGTATTTACAGGGAAATTCTACCCAAATATCCCCCAGAATTGAAGAACTAGACCTGTTCCGAGGAGAATTATTGAAGAAGGTCACAGTGCACGCAGACAATTTTGGCTCCATCTCTGACCTTGAGGAGGGACTGGGAAATGCAAAGCGATAGGGCCCAGGTGACTGAAGGGCAGCAAGGAGCCTGGCAATTGTTGAGAGTCCTGAGACTGTATGATAGGTCTGACCCAGCATTAATACTTCTGCGTACATTCACGTCACAACCATTCTGGGAGAAATAGCTTTCCTTATCTGCCCTTTACAGGTGAAGGAAACTGAACCCACAGAGTTTAAATGCCATGTCCAATGTCACACAACTAGTAGTCACAATTTAAACTCAGGTCTGTCTACTCATTCCCATTATCATATCTCCCTAAGACATGACAGAAAGAACAGATGCAAAAAAGACTTAAGAGACGTATATGCCTTTTCACATGAAAAGAATTTGAAATGATTTCAAAAGACTGTTTAGATAGTCAACTATATGAGCTCATCAGTTTAACAAGCATTTACTGTGCACCCATGTGGACCTGTGCTGGTGATGCAGTGTGTAACAAAGCACGTTTCCGTTTGGAGAAGCCCAAATCACACACAACAGATAGCTGTAAATGGATATTGATGTTAACAGCTGTTAAGCACTCACCCAGAACCAATGGAGGGATGAATCCAGACAGGCTTCTAGGAAGAGATGTGAAAAACAGGTCTTGGAGGAGGCAGGTGCCCTGTCACATAGAGAAGATAAAGTAGAGGATCACAGACTGCAAAAACGAGGGAGCAGATACCAGGTCCCGCGTGCACCCACCAACGCTCTTCAGACCTTTTCCACCTGGTTCACTGTCTGGGGCGCCAAGATGACTCCAAACCCAGCTTCCCAAGCTGGACCTTAAATAGCTCTTCGTTGGCCTGTTTTGCCTAGTTCCAATTCATCACCTTGTCCTATCTAGTCTCCTTCTAGATTTTACTCAAACATTTACCCTTTCTTTATCCTCATTTCCAGCATCATAGCTTGGTACTGTAATTTCTTTGCTCCTGTAATGTACGCTACATTGACACTATCTTACTTTAGTTCCATATAAAGTCATCCAGATTGACTGCTAAAGAAGGAAAAAAGAGAAATGATTTGACCCAACCATTATCCTTTTAAAATCCTTCAGTGGCTCCCAGTACCTTCAAGATTAAACCAAAACTTCCTAATGGGCCTTCGTGGTCTGGCCTTAGCCCAGTTCTCTAACTTAAAATCTGATCTCTACTTCCAGCTTCAATGAGTTTCAATTCCTCTAACACAGTGGTTTAAAACCCTGTTTGCACCTTAGAACTACCTGGGGAGTTTTAAAAAATACCAAAGCCAAGGTTCTACTGCCAGAGACTCTAAGTGAATTACTCAAGGGAAGGTCCTGGGCATCAGGACGTTGTGAAGCCTGTAATACTAATTGCAGCTGGAATTAAGGACATTGCTTTAGCCCAAAGCATGCTTAGTCATGTCCAAGTTTATTATGTATGCCTCTGTCTGTGTGTCACAGAGCTCTCCTAGCTTCTTGGCCGGGAAGCCAGGGTCTTTTTCTGTCTAACTTACTAATATATTTTCAGAATTGTGCCTGGAACATAAATTGTGCTGCTCTGTATCTGTAGAAATAAATGAACGAATGTGTGACACTGCTTTCTCCCTTCAATTGGTTTTCATTCACTTTATAGGATACAGCTTATGATCCTATAATGATTCCCCACTAATTTCCAGTTTTGGGCTAGGTTACTTTAAGTGATCTCAGCACATGATTTTCCTATCATAGACATATCATACCACCTTTAAATTATCTGTATCCTTCACTTACCCTGTGTGCTCTAAGGAAGTCATGTCTATGCCATCACCTTGTATTTAGCTTACAGTGGATGCTGATTAAATAAGAGCAGCATAAATAAGTGGAAGTGAATGAGCATGCTGTGTCCATGTTAAAGTGGAGTGCTGTGTGGCCAGAGTAACTGAGAGGGGAGGCTGGAGAGGTAAACGGGGAACAGACTGTGCAGGGCCTGGTATCCACACCAAGGACTCTGAACAATAGGGGACCAGGAAATGCTTTAAGCAAGGCCACACCATCAGCTTGAACTTAAGGGCAGTTATTAGCTGAGCTATGAAAGACTGGTGGAATTTAGGGAAGCATAGGTAGGAACCAGATGGAACACTAGCGCAATAGCCAAGGAAGATGATGAGGCAATGTATGAAGAAGGGAGTCAAACCCGAGAGAGAGAACCACACTGGCAGCCCAGTGGTGCGGCACTGTGGGTACCACAGAGAGGGCAGCTGGATCTGGTAACATGATCAGACAGGCAGTGTTAAAAGTTTGAGTTCGGGGACCAGTCACCTTGGTTCACACCTTAGCTCTATCCTATAGTAGCTCCCAATCCTGAATCCTGAGGAATTCACCTTCACCTCTTTAAAAAAAAAAGATTTATTTATTTATGCATACAAGAACTGGGGTATGGGACAGAGATGCAGGGGGTGAGAGGGTTCACTAGAGACAGAATGGGGTACAGAACAGGCAGACTGACTGAAACACACTGCTGAGGGGAGCAGCAGGTGACACAGGAGAGGTCTGCTCTGTCAGGTGGGTCACCTCCCTGGCCAGGGATCGAACTCTTGCTGAAGTGGCTTTGGCTAGCTTCATAGTGCTGTGCTTTAACCCACTGCACCACCAGGGAGGCCTGTCACCTTCACCTCTTTAGTTTTTGATCTATTAAATGGAGACAACAGCAGTATCTACGTTACTGGGATGTTGTCAAAACTGAGTGAGGCAATACAAGTAAATGATCACCCACTGCCTGGCTGGTATTAAACATCACACAAGAATCAGCAAAACTGGGCTCTCCCTGGTGGCAAAATGAGTCAAAGCACTGCATTATGAAGCTCTTTGAAGCTACTGCGCACGAGTTTGATCCCCAGCCAGGGGGTGACCCACATGGCGCGGCAGGCCTCTCCTGACCTGCCAGTTGCTCCCCTCAGCAGTGTACTTCGTCGATCTGCCTGTTCTGCTCCCCACTCTGTCTCTGGTGAATCCTCTCACCGCCCCTGCACCTCTGTGCTGTACCCCAGTTCTGTAAACGTAAATAAATAAACCTTAAAAAAAAAAAAAAAGAACCAGCAGAACTATTTCTATATAGTTAGGGGCTATAACCATAGCCGCTAAGGCTAGGGGCTGCCAAGACGGCTACCTCTGAGCACCTGCTGCTTTACCATCAAGGGGTAGATTCTATTTCTTCCTCCTCTTGAATGTGGGCTGGGTTTGTGATTTACTGTGATTAAATCAATACACTAGAAGAGACACTGTACCAGCTCTGGCCCAAGCCTTGAGAGGCCTGCCAGCATCTGCTTCTGCCCCTTCGGAAGCCAGCTTATCACTGAATGCTGAGACCAAGAGCGAGAGAGAAGGAGAAGGCGCCGAGAAGCAAAAGCACACGGCCGGCTGCTGCAGACTGTGGCCAGGTCCCCAGTGAGAGTTAATCAGCATGCAGGCAGGAAGGACTTGGTGCCCGGGGAGAAGGTGAGCTTGCCAAGGGAGGGCAGACGAAGGAGTAAGAGGTGCCAACATAGAATTCTGGCCTCAGATATTTAATGGGCAGGTGAAGAGAAGTTTATGAAGAAGAAAAGCAGCATTGATCAGGGATGAGAAAAACTAAGACCAGGAAGCTGTGCTCTTAGAAGGGATAACTACCGCTTAGAGCTGCCAAGTGTGATGGATTTGACAATTAGGGTGGATGTGACAGGAGAGAATTTCCATTTCACATAAAGTGGTAGAAGCAGAAGTCAGATGATAGGGATAAAGTGGGGAATAATTGAGAAACTGGACAAAGCAAATGTAGATTACTTTTTTCAAAGGTCTGTTGTTAAAATGGAATTCATGCAAACAGAGTATTTGGTGGTTGCCAAGGTGAAGGGTGGGGAAATGGGGAGATATTGGTCAAAGGATACAAATTTCTGCCTACAAGAAGAATAAGTCCCACATACCCAGTGCACAGTGTGGTGACTATAGTTAACAATACTGTGTTGTACACTTGAGAGTTCCTAAGAGAGTAGGTAAAAATTTTCACCGCTACACAAAAGATTAATTGTATGAGGTGATGGATATGTTATCTAGGCTGTAACCATTTCACTATACAAACATCAAATCATCATGTTGTCCACTTGGAACTCACTCAGTATTACATGCCAATTATATCTTAATAAAGCCAGGGGGGAAATAAAACAACTCCTCCACCACCCATTGTAAAGATAGAATAAAATTAAAAGTCTGCTGTTGGCCCTCCCTGGTGGCACAGCGGGTTAAGGCCCAGCACTGAGAATCTAAAGCCGCTTCCGCATGAGTTCGATTCCCACCTGCCCCGGAGGTGACCACATGGAGCGGCAGACCTCTCCTGACCCGCCCGCTGCTCCCCTCAGCAGTGTACTTCGTCGATCTGCCTGTTCTGCTCCCCACTCTGTCTCTGGTGAAGCCTCTCGCCGCCCCTGAGCCTCTGGCCTGTACCCCAGTTCTGTATGCACAAATAAATAAATCTTAAAAAAAAAAAAGTCTGCTATTACGACAAGGAAGAAAATTGGAGCATTCACTGGATGGAAAAAACTGGTTTAAGTGGAGGAACTAAATGGAGGGACTTGCTTGCTGATGATGCCAAAAAAGAGAGAGGTTAAAGATCACCAAGAAGGGAAGATGATCAGAAGCTCAAAGACTTGGAAGGGAAGGGAAGGGCCACAGAATCCCTATGGAGAACTTTGCTTTGGGCTAGAAGGGAAAGAGACAAAGGGGTGGAGCTTCCCAGACAGGTAAGTGAGACCAGGCAGGATGAGGTTCCTATCTGTTTCCCCTGGGTAGAGTAGGCAGGGTCATCTTTTGACAGGCAGTGCAGATCTTGGGAGAGTGACCAATTTCTGAAAAGCTGTGTAGGGAACTCAGCAGGGAATGTAGGAGTCAAGCTTCCAGAGTCTTCTGGAGAAGCCACCTTCTGAGGGTGGGGCTTTCAACAGGAGCTTTTCCCCTCTGGCCTACCCAACTCCTCCTCTTCCCCCAGGGCTCGTGGGCAGCCTTGGGCAGCCCGGTCTGCTCCCTAGGGATCTTTCCCTCACTCATTCTCCAAGTGTGTGCTGAACAGACACACCACCCAGCCCATTTCTCTGTAACATACTCTACTTCTTCCCAAGGGGCTTTCAAAGGTTCCCCTCATTTTTCAGATGCCCCACTCTTTCCCCCCCCCACACCTGGCAGAGGTCCTACTTTTTAGAGAACACAGAAACCATCAGACTGCATCGGCCAAAACCAAACACACACATTACCCTACAGCTGCGCCCTCGCCTGCTGAGACAGCAGTTGAAAACTGCAGTTTCACGGAGGGGGTCTTGACCAGCATTTAAAAAATGCAATAAATAGAACAGAAAATAGTATCTAATGCTCACAGAAAGCCTATTTACTGTTTCTCAACTCTTCTGTTTCAATTATGTTGCATCTGGTACTGTGGGTGGAAAACTTTAAAACTGCTTTGGAAAAAGTTACAACTGCACTGCAATAGAGAAACTGTCCTTCCTCAGGTCCAGCTCATCCATGCACCTGTGCGTCAGGGTCTGCCCACTCCAGTCTTTTCAGGGCTCCTTTTCTCGCTATAAAAACCAAAAGCATCTCACCAATCTCCTTCCATCCCCAGTAACACCGCTCCCCCTTCACAGTGCAACTTCTTCTGGGAG